TTTTTTTTTTTTTTTTACTATAAATATTCAATAAAATGTTAGTGTGAATCCAAATATATACGTACGAATTACTACGTATGTAGAAGCTCCAGTAATTTAAGTTAATATTATGAATAGAGCTTACTGTCGAATGTTCGCCGAATGACTAAATAAGTTACTATGTATTCGATTAGCATATAGTTTTTAGATGCGGTACAGCTAACAATACATATATAATCATTATATGTGAACTAGTGAATGAATTTAATACTTATGATAAACAATAAAAATTATTCGAATAAATTATGCGAACGAATAAAATTTGCTTATTCAAATTATTCATAATTCTCTATTCGAATATTATTCGAAGTTCTAGTCATGAATATACAAAACATGTAATTGTGCTTATATTTAGTAAATACTTGATTATTATTGGTTGATTAACCTGATCCCTCATGATCCGTATGATCCATTGTATCACACGTTAGTGAAACGTACAAGCCACTAATAACTATTATTACCTGGTTTTTCAACAAGATGTGTTCATGTTTTCGATACAAACCATTTCTCTAGTATTTTTTTCCCTTCTTCGATCGACTTTGGTTCGATGAAATAGGCGAAGCACAAAAATGCCTGTGCGTAGTGAAGAGATCGATTACTTGATATATCGCTACTTGCTCGAACATAATTACGCACATTCTGCCTTCGTTTTTAACAGTGAAGCTAACGTGGAGAAGAATGCTGCTGCTCAAAAATTAGATATAGGCTCTGTAAAGCGCGATGCTTTGGTATTAACTATTCGTCGTGCTATGCTATATAAAGACCTCGTTTACCACACCCCTTTGGATGGACCGATGATAAACTGTAAAGCTGAATTAAACTTGATTGGAAAGCATGTATGTGATATACCTGATAATGAAAGTACTGAGGAGACAAATACTAATTCTCCGGACGGTGATTCTCCTCCACATGGACCTAATGAAGTCCAAAGGGATGGCAACAGCGATAATAATATTGAAAATAGGGGAAATAATAATAACTCGAGTAATTCAAATGGTAATAATAGTATAACTAAATCGTCGGGCACCGCAAGTGGAAATTTAAAATCATTCATTTCTGAAGGTATGTTTTATTTTATATATTTTCACATATTCTTCTATTTAAAAAAACTGTATATATATATATATTTATATATATATATCCGTCGCTACTTTTATTTTTTTTTTTATTTTTTTTTTCCTTTTTTCTTTTTTTTCCTTTTCTTTTTTTCTCAGTCAATTTTTTAAGAATTATTAATTGAGTATAAAATATTAGAACTAAAAGGTATTCGTTTTATCAAGGCGAAGTAGAAATTCGTAACGACTTTGTCTCTTCTAAATCTGATCGGGATTTCCTTCCTTCTCATTCTGATAATATTCCCGATCCTGTTTCAACTCAAAGAAGAAAAAGAATTAGAAGAAATTCTGAAAGTGTTCGTAATGATATTATTCAAAATAATTCGGCTTCTCCTATGAAATCTTTAAAAGGTTCTAAATCTGATGATTTAAAATCTGATGTCTCTCGTCGTAAGAAATCTAAAAATATTGATGATGATGTGAAATCTCCTTCTGATGCTGATTCTACTCATAGTCATGATGATCCTCCTGAATCAAGTAAAAAACCTATTATTACTAGAGGTCGTAGAAAATCTCAAAAATCCGTAGCCTTCGGTTCAAAAATTATTGTTAAAAAATCAAAACCTTTACGTTCTAAAATTGATCATGATGATGATGATTCTAAACTTGATGATTTTCGTCGTGTTCCTCAAAAAGATAAGGGTAAATTGGTTCAAAATTTTATCTTTGATGATCCTCCTCCTCCTCCTTCTTCTCTTTCTTTAAAAGATAAAAATCTTCATCTTTCCGATGATGAGTGTGATCCTCGTACTATTTATTCCGATTCTTGTGATCCTGATCCTCTCGCTGATGATATGGAAATTGATTCCCCTCAAAATATTCCTTCTCCTTCTTCTGTGATTAGAAATATGTCTCTTCCTACTCGTTCTTTACTTCAAAAACCTATTATTTATAAAGTTGATGATAAAAGTCATACTCTTTTAAATACCCTTTTACGTCAAGGTGAAGAATTTATGACTTGTGCTTGGAAACCTGGTGATTATGTTTTGGCTACTGGTGGAAGAGATGGTAAAGTTAGAATTTGGAAAGATATTAATGGTGACGCTACTAATTCTTGGAAAAATGTTATGAGTACTACTTATCATCTTATTACGAGTCATGATCCTATTGTTACTTGGGTTGAATGGACTGTAAAAGGTGATATGATCGCTTGTTCTTATGATACTGGAATCGCTGGTGTTTATCGTGATGATTGTATTTTTCGTAGAAAATTAGATGGCCATAAATCAAGTGTTTCAAAGATAAAATGGAGTCCAAAAGGCGATTATTTGGCTACTGTAAGTTGTGATGTTAATAATCTTATTTTATTATGGGATTTGGATGGTAATTATTCAAGGCTTGACGATTTACATAAGAAAACTGTAACTGACGTTGCTTGGAATGATAATGCTTTGGCTTCTTGTTCAAGTGATGGTAAAGTCATTCTTTGGAAATTATCTTCTATTAATGATAAATTAGAAATTCGTCCTTTTGAATATGCTGGTCATGATGGTGGAGTTTTTTCTATTCAATGGGATCCTACAAAAAATTATTTGGCTTCTTGCGCAAGAGATGGCACTTGTAAGATTTGGTCTAATGAAAAAAAAGATCCTTTACAAACTATTTCTTCCGAAGATGGTGATATCACTCTTGCAAAATGGCATCCAAAATCTACTTCAGAGCAACATTGGTTACTCACAACTTCCAAAGATAGTGGTGTAGTACGCTTTTGGGATGCTATTGAACCCCGTTGTTGGCACAAGATACATCTACATCAATCTCATATTAATACTATTGAATTTTCTCCTGATGGTCGTTATTTTGCTTCGGGTTCTAAAGATTCTTTTTTGAACATTGTCGATGTAAAAACTTATTTGACCGTTGAAACTCATTGTCTTGGTAATGATATTATGAGTATTGAATGGAATCATAAATCTTCTCAAATAGCTGCGAGATTACATAATGGAAATGTATATGTAGTATTGGTGTTGGATGTAAAAAAAAAGTAAGCTTTATAATGTCAAGTATGAGTTTTATTGTGCATTATATAGATTTTTATTTTAGTTTAGGGGTTTTCGAGTGGATATTTATTATTTATTGCTATGTTGTACGTGAGCTTTGGATCTCACGAATTATTAAGATATTTGTGTATAATGTAATTTTTATGTTTATAAATAAAAAACAATCTTTTTTTTCACATTTTTTCACATTTTTAAATTGACGATACTCTTATTAAAATATGGCAAAGGTTCCTTGAAAATGGTGAAATTTTTTTAATTGTATTTTTTTTACCAAATTATTTTAAAATGTATTTTTCATATGTATTTATATTACGTTTTAAAGTTGGAATTTCTTTCCCGAACTTTTGAAAGTTCGTACCATATGATAATTGGAATTTTTGCTATAATGACCCTTTGTGACGATACATGACTGTGATTATCGATTTAAAAAAAAGGTTGTTACACGACGTTTTTATTATAGCGTTGGATCCAAAAAAAATCTAAAATCTACATGACAATGATTATAGTGTAAAGTCATAATTTCATTCGAACGTTTAAGATCGAATCTTCCATCAATTTTTACTAGTAGAGATGATCTGTCATAATTTTCATGAACGGGGAACGTCTAAACGGAGATAAGTCATATAAATCCATATAAACTTTATGCATAATCCGGCAGGGTTATAAAAACTAAATTGTGAAATTTGAATTTTATATATTAATATAATAAAATTTTATATACCAGGTCATAAAAGCTAGATTGTTAAATCTAAATTTTATATATATTAAGAAATTAATTTGTATATGCTGGGTAGAATTTTTTTTTTGGATGAGATTACTTATAATTTTTTGCCGGGTCCTGAGTTTGACTTTTTAATACTTAACGTTTTATTATATGTAAAATTTTTTGGTAAATAAAAAAGATGAGGCGGGCGGGTTAGAAAAAATTTAAATGTTATGAAAACTAATACCGTAAATGGCCGGATACAAGATCCCCCTAGATAGTAGATCCACTATGTGCTATACCCGGGTCTACAATATAGGA